AAGCCTGTTCACGGGAAGCTCGACTGGTCGCAAATCTGTCAAAATGCTGCTAAGGTTCGTCTACGCCGTCTATTTCCACTGCCTTCTTTTTAACGGCCTTTTTGTATTTAACAACACTGGTCAGAGGGAGCACACCTGGCGTACGCATTGAACTAGTGTATTCTGTCCAGCACCTAATATCCCCTTCTTAGTCTGGAAACATGTCGGAAATAACGGAAGGTATAAAGATAAACCGTGTTCAGCGATGATACCCATGTGAGCATTCAAGAAGTCAAGTTAGGCGAACGAACGTTTTCGATTACTTCATAATCAGACAAATAAAATGATAAAAGGGAGGGTAGAGTTAACAAAAGTTTAAGCAACCAGTCAGTAGTAATTAGGCGGAGAGAAAGGAAAGGTGTTAAGGGATCAAGGGGGGTCAGATTCTACTCATAATTAGGGACCAGAGAGGGGAAGGGGTCCGAGAATTAGCTCATGTCACCCTGTCGTCCCTGTCTCGCGTTTTGTTGGGAGGCGTGAGGACGCAAGGTCTCATCGTCTGGTGACGGCGTGGGTGGCCTGGGGACGCTTGTTCTCGCTATCTCGTCACCGTTTCGCGTGCTGTTTGTAGTAATTTGCCAAGTCGCGTTTGCGGTGTATGCCGAAGCTCGTTAAGTATAGGCTTTTAAATAATCCATGAACTGGCAAAGAGTACTCAAGTAGATTTACAATTGCACTTGGTAGTTGAATTATCCTAATTGAACATAGCCATCCTTATCCAAACTTCCAATACTGAAGTCACCATTAGCACGCTGGTGCTTGGTTAAGAATTTTTCCGGCCATTTCTTGGAAACAAACTAACCGAAATATGCGTCCATTGTCTTCGGTTTGTGCTACTTTAGAAACAAATAAATTAATACTGCTCAAATATGATGCGAATTATAGCATTCAATTTGCACAAAATTTTTGCAAACGGACTTGAATTGCCATTCCTGTCTGACCATTCGTCATCAGCCAGCCATACACGACGACCCCGAGGTTTGCGACCCCTGAGGCTTGAGCCCTCGTTCTGTTAGCTAGGAGTCTAACGCCCTAACTGCTTGAGCTATAGGCTCGTTGTCCTGCCGGTTTCGATTGAGTGTATTAAAAGTGGTAGAGAGTTTTCACCGATTGCGTTTTGGGATATAGTTCTACCTGCTAGTAGTGACAGAAAAGGGTAAACAAATTTGCTCTAGAGAAACCTCACCTTATAGAGTTTGCAAGTAAAAACTCGTATTCCAAAAATGAGCACGGGCGGCTCATTATCTAAGAAATTTAAGTAGATTAAAAATAGTGTCATCAAAATTAATGGAAAAGTGCACCTGTCTAATTACTGGTTTTATTCCATTTATAAACCAAAAGCCAGCATAATACTATATACTACTGATCTTGGGGGCATGTTTTACGCCTATCGATACTACAGCCAGGCAAGCATTCCAGACAATTCAGTTGTGAAAAATTCGCGGCCTCGGTGGGAGCCGAACCCATACAGCAGGGCAGACGTTTATGCAGCCAACGCTCTACCTTTGAGCTACGAGGCTCATCGTGCGCCATGAATTTGATAAAATTTGGGTCAATTTATCCGCCCTACCTTCTGCTCGAATGTAATCAACCATTACGGATACGCTAAGCTGACTGTTCAGGCAGGATTTCCTAAGCAATCATCTAGGATCCACCAGAATGACTTCTAGGCTCACTTAATTCTTAGGAGGGTTTGGTAGATTTGAATAATTCAGTTGACCCAATTGTAAAATATCCACGACCAGCCGGCATAATACTATATAATAATGATTTCAGGGGCAGGTTTTATGCCTAACAATACGCCTACAGCCAGGAACATAAGCATTCCAGACAGCGCTTCTTAAATTTCAGCGCGCACTGTAAATTTACAACGCAAACAAC